AACAGATTAAAAACACAATTTAAAGGAAATAATAAAAAAGGTCTTCCTCCACAAATATGAATGACATATACTAACTAATAGTGTTAAGTTTGGACAAAGATAAATACAGGAAATACTACATTTTGGGAATTTGTTCAAACATTAGAATAATATTGAGACCCCAGTAAAGTTTACAACTTCGCATGTGGAGCCCTCAATGTGATGATATTTTCTTGGCAGAAAAACTGACTGTCATGTTTGGCTTGACGTGTTTGGCCCACATGCTGAACACACTCGGAAACAGGCAGATCTTTGAGGGTTTTTATTGGAAAAAAAACAGAACGAAAGGGGATTCTGCAACCGCAGACCGAAGCTCAGCACAGGGAGCCGGAACCAAGGAACGTCTAGGGGAATGAGAAGGGCGGTTAACCAGGGACGGGGCAAAGAGGAATGTTCAGCTGGACGAACGCTTACCTCAGAGCGGGGAGAGCCGGACCGGGGAGAAGGCGGGTTGGACTTAAAGCTGGCCAGGTGGAGGAGAAGGCGATCGTCCAGGTGACCTGAGAGCTGAAGCCAGAGAGGGTCCGAGCAGCACCGGGGAGATCCAAGCAACCAGAACAGCGGGGGAAACCTGAAGGAGGTCCGTGAGGGTGGGGGGACCAGTGAGGGGAACCGACTCGGAAGGAACCGGGGGGTACCACTCAGAGGAGTCCACCATGAGAGGAATCAGAACACGAGGGAGGCACCTGGGAGACACAGAGGTAAGACAGGTTACACAAAGCTTGAGAAGGCTAGAGACCGTGGTCGTTTTGCATACCACTACGGTAACACTCAGGCGTCCTTCCGCTGTCTGAACGCAGTTCTTATAGAGCAGTGCTGCAGAAACAACCCGCTGGTGTGCGAGCCCCAATCAGTCAACCAGGAACACCTGTGGAGAAGGCAGAGGCAGCAGAGTCCTGACACCACCCCCCCCTCAAGGGTCGCCTCCAGGCGACACAAAGGAGGATGTTGAGGGACGGGAGGAGAGGAAAGAGTCAATAAGGGACTGGTCAGGGATGGAGGATCCAGGGAGCCAGGACCGATCCTCGGGACCGCGACCAACCCAATCCACGAGGTATTGGAAACCCCTACCTCGTGGACGGGAGGCCACGATACGTTGGATCTGGCGTCCATGGTGGTCTAGGGTGGGCGGAGGAGGGTCGGCCGGGGGGCACAAGGGACTGGAGGAGACAGGCTTAATCTGAGACACGTGGAAGGTGGGGTGCACACGGGAGTGAGATGGGAGACGAAGACGGACTGTGGTGGGACTGACAATGGAGATAATTTCATAGGGGCCAGTGAAACGTGGGGACAGCTTGCGGGAGGTAGCTCGGGAGGGAAGGTCTCGGGTGGATAACCAGACTCGCTGACCGGGGAGGTAAGTGGGGGCTGGGACCCGCCTCCGGTCAGCGAACCTGCGATTCTGTTCAGCAGTGTCTTGGAGAGCTTGTATGGTCTGGGTCCAAAAGTGCTTGCAACGGTTGATGTGGTCCTGGACGGAAGGCACAGCGATCAGCCTATTGTTGTCGGGTAGAAGTGGGGGCTGATAACCCAGAGAGATCTCGAAGGGGGAGTGACCGGTAGCAGTGGAGACGTGACTGTTATGGGCATACTCAATCCAGGGGAGGTACTTGTTCCAGTCCGTGGGGTTCTTGGAGGTGAGGCAACGGAGGGCGGTCTCCAGCTCCTGGTTCATCCGCTCTGTCTGACCGTTGGTCTGCGGGTGGTAGCCGGAGGTCAGAGTGTACCGGGCACCAAGGGCCACAGCAAACTCCTTCCACACCCGCGAGATGAATTGGGGACCACGGTCAGACAGAATCTCTTGTGGGATACCATGGAGGCGGAAAACATGTTTCACCAGGAGCTGGGCCGTGAGGAAAGCAGAGGGGAGTTTCCGGAGGGGAATGAGGTGGCAGGCCTTGGAGAACCGATCGACAACTGTGAGGATTACTGTCATACCTTGTGAGGAAGGGAGACCGGTGATGAAATCCAGGGCTATATGGGACCAGGGACGTTCAGGGATGGGCAGGGGCTGGAGGAGGCCAGATGGTGGTCTGTTGGAGGGTTTATTTTGAGCACAAACAGGACAAGAGAGAACGAACTGTTTGATGTCCTGGGACATAGTGGGCCACCAGAAACTGCGGGCGAGGAGCGTTCGGGTGCGATGGATGCCAGGGTGTGCGGAAAACTTCTCGGCATGAGCCCATTGGATTACACGGGATCTGACTGAGGAGGGCACATAGGTGCGACTTGGAGGACCGGTTCCGGGGTCAGGGTCGGATGGGAGTGCTTGGGTAATGAGGTCCTGTACCTCCCACTGGAGAGCGCCGAGCACACAGGAGGGTGGCAGGATAGCGACCGGTTCCTTCACAGAGTCGGGGGGAGAGTAGAGACGGGACAAGGCGTCGGGCTTCAGGTTCTTAGAACCAGGGCGGTAGGAGATTGTCAGGTTGAACCGGGAGAAGAAGAGGGACCAGCGGGCCTGCCGGGGGTTTAGCCGCTTAGCTGTCTGGATGTAGGCCAAGTTCTTATGGTCGGTCCAAATAAGAACTGGTTGCTCGGACCCCTCTAGCCAGTGACGCCACTCCTCCAAAGCGAGCTTTATGGCTAACAGCTCCCGGTCTCCGACGTCATAGTTTCTTTCGGCAGGAGTCAGACGCCTGGAGAAGAAGGCGCACGGGTGAAGCTTCTGATCCTGATCCGATACTTGGGACAAAACAGCTCCCACACCAGTGTCTGAGGCATCGATCTCAACAATGAATTGCTTCAATGGGTCGGGGTAGATCAGGATGGGCGCCTGGGAGAAACGGGACTTGAGATCGGCGAACGCCGAGTCGGCCTTGGAGTTCCAGGAGAAGGTGACCTTGACAGAGGTGAGAGCATGGAGGGGGGCGGCGATCTGACTATAACCCCTAATAAAGCGTCTGTAAAAATTAGCGAACCCCAAGAAGCGCTGAAGCTCCTTTCGGGTCTCGGGTACTGGCCAGTCGAGCACTGCCTTGATCTTATCGGGGTCAGATCGTACCCTACCCCCTTCCAGGATGAGTCCCAGGAAGGCAATGGAGGGCTTGTGAAACTCACACTTCTCAGCCTTAACGTAAAGCTTATTTTACAACAGGCGTTGGAGGACCAGACGGACATGCTTGTAGTGTTCAGTTGGGTTTCGTGAGTAGATAAGGATATCGTCAATGTAGACGAACACAAAGACGTTGAGGTAGTCACGTAAGACGTCATTTACCAGAGCTTGGAAGACTGCCGGGGCGTTGCACAGACCGAAAGGCATTACCTGGTACTCAAAATGCCCAAGGGGAGTCTTGAAGGCTGTCTTCCACTCATCTCCCCGGCGGATCCGCACTAAGTGGTAAGCGTTACGTAAGTCCAGCTTAGTGAAGATAGTGGCTGACTGAACCGGCTCAGAGGCGGAGGAGATCAGTGGGAGGGGGTACTTGTTTTTAACAGTGATAGCGTTTAAGCCCCGATAATCAATACAGGGACGGAGGGAACCGTCCTTCTTAGACACGAAAAAGAACCCTGCCCCAAGTGGAGAGGATGACGTGCGAATTAACCCCGTGGAAAGTGACTCCTTAATATATTTCTCTAGGGCTTGATGTTCTCCCAGAGAAATATTGTAAAGGCGACTGGACGGCAACGGGGCACCCGGAAGGAGGTCTATGGCGCAGTCGTAAGGGCGATGTGGAGGGAGCGAGCTAGCCTGCGCCTTATTGAAAACCTGTCCGAGGTCATGATATTGTTCCGGCGCCAGTTTCAGAACATCGGGATCTACCCGAGTGCCAGGCGCGGGGGGGGGCCTGAGAGAAGGGAACAGCCGATTGAAGGCAGTTGGCATGGCAGCTGGACGACCAGGCTTCCACCCGTCGGTCAGCCCAGTCATTGTGAGGGTTGTGGCACTGTAACCACGAAAACCCAAGTACTAGTGGAGCCTGCTTAACGGGAAAAACGAAAAAGGAGACAAGCTCTCTGTGATTACCTGAAACAACAAGTTCCAGGGGAACCGTTCTGTGGGTAATGCGGGGGAGTTCTCCCCCGTCCAGGGCCGAAACCTGGAGGGGAGAATCTAACGGAACCGTCTCAATTTTAATTTGGAGAACTAAGGAGCGATCGATCAGGTTAAAATCACACCCAGAATCAACTAGAGCGGACAGTTGGAACGTGTCCCGACCAGAGACAATAGCAGCAGGTAAGCAGAGTCGCAGAGGAGAAGACAAAGGAAACTTAGGTTGGTCCGTCGATCTCTCCGCTAAAACCGACGGACCTGGTCTTTTGGTCGCTCAGGGCAATCCCTGATGAAATGCGCAGGAGAAGCACAATAGATGCAGAGCCTAGAGCTCATGCGTTGCTGTCGCTCATCCGGAGTCAGCCTAACCCGGCCTAATTGCATGGGCTCTGGGGGAGAAGGAGGTGCTGCAGCGGGTCTAGCCGGTAGCCGCTCGGAAGGAGCTGGCCGAAAAACAGGTGGCCTATCGGAGCGACTCTTACCCCGCGCCCGTAAGCGGTTATCTAAGCGCACAGCTAGCGCGATGAGTTCGTCTAGCGTGACCGGCTGTTCAAGGCGAGCCAGTTCGTCCTTAAGGGACTCATCTAAAGACTGCAGGAAAACAGATCTTAAGGCTCGCTGTTCCCAGTCAGCCGCCGCCGCCACCGTACGAAACTCGATAGCGTAGTCAGCTACCCGTCTGCCCCGCTGTCGTAAGGAGAGAAGCCGCATAGAGTCCTGAGCCTCATCAGACTCAGCAGCAAAAACCATCTTAAACTCAGAAATAAATTCATTAAACGTACAGCCGAAACGCTGACAATCAGGGAAATGGGATTCAGCCCATTTAAGGGCTCGGCCCGATAAAAGCCGTAAAATAAAAGAGATCCTGGTATGATCAAGGGCAAAGGTTCGAGGGGACCGATTAAACACTAGAGAACACTGAAATAAGAACCCTCCACAATCTCCAGCCTCACCGGAATATTTCTCAGGAGTGGGGGAGGAGTACTCGGGGACGTCCGGTGACGTCATGACTGACGCGGCCTCGGGGGAGGGGTCAGGGGACGCGGAAGCTGCTGGCTGCAGACTAGCATTAAACATGCTAACCAGCTGGCTCATCTGGGCAGCTAAGCCCTGTAACTGATCCTGTAAACCAAAAACAGAAGCTTCTAAACCTCGAATCTGATCCTGTTGAGCTGTTACAGCGTTTCCGAGTGTACTCGCTGGGTCTGACTGGCCTGAGTGTTCTTCTGTCATGTTTGGCTTGACGTGTTTGGCCCACATGCTGAACACACTCGGAAACAGGCAGATCTTTGAGGGTTTTTATTGGAAAAAAAACAGAACGAAAGGGGATTCTGCAACCGCAGACCGAAGCTCAGCACAGGGAGCCGGAACCAAGGAACGTCTAGGGGAATGAGAAGGGCGGTTAACCAGGGACGGGGCAAAGAGGAATGTTCAGCTGGACGAACGCTTACCTCAGAGCGGGGAGAGCCGGACCGGGGAGAAGGCGGGTTGGACTTAAAGCTGGCCAGGTGGAGGAGAAGGCGATCGTCCAGGTGACCTGAGAGCTGAAGCCAGAGAGGGTCCGAGCAGCACCGGGGAGATCCAAGCAACCAGAACAGCGGGGGAAACCTGAAGGAGGTCCGTGAGGGTGGGGGGACCAGTGAGGGGAACCGACTCGGAAGGAACCGGGGGTACCACTCAGAGGAGTCCACCATGAGAGGAATCAGAACACGAGGGAGGCACCTGGGAGACACAGAGGTAAGACAGGTTACACAAAGCTTGAGAAGGCTAGAGACCGTGGTCGTTTTGCATACCACTACGGTAACACTCAGGCGTCCTTCCGCTGTCTGAACGCAGTTCTTATAGAGCACCCCGGTGCTGCAGAAACAACCCGCTGGTGTGCGAGCCCCAATCAGTCAACCAGGAACACCTGTGGAGAAGGCAGAGGCAGCAGAGTCCTGACACTGACGTCAGTATATTCGTCGTCATGGTTAAAAAACCATCTCCATTATGGTGACTGCCTACTTGGTTAATTGGAGTTGAAATGGTAAGGTTTGCAATCGTTCTATTGATTTCTATGTGAGCAATGCATTATTGTATGTGTAATTTATTAGCATTTCCTCCTTTAGATGTGAGGGGCGTTCAATAAGTAATGCCCCTGACACACTTTTGGATGTTTGATCGAGCTGAAATTTTGCATGTGACGTTATTTAAATCTCTATAAATCAAGTAGCAAATTACAGCTCTGAACTATTTGTTGTTTCTGACTTACAGGTGTTTGTACTGATTAAAGTCTGAAATGGAGCCTGTTGAGTGTCGAGCAGTGATCCGGTTTTTCTATTGGAAAGGACTCACACCACGGGAGGCTTTTGATAAAAATGAAATTAAAGTAACTTATGGTGATGATGCCCGTTATATGACCTTGCAAAATGTTTTACAAGGTTATATTATGGGACATTATCACTATAAGCTACTTTCATTCGATCAAAAGTCTCCTATTGTGTGCGTCCTTTCAAATGCAAAAACTCAGACTTGACTCAGTTTTAACACCAGTAAATCAGAAACCACAATTAGTCCAATGCTGTAATTTGCTATTTAATCTATGGAGATTTAAAATACTTCACATGCAAAATTTCAGCTCGATCAAACATCTGGAAGTGGGCCAGGGGCATAGATGTGAGCAGCATAAGGCTCTGGTTACTGGTATGAGAATGTCTTTGAACAGCAAGTACACGTCTTGAGGAACAACTTTTAAATTTATGAAGGGGTAAACTTAACTTTAAACCCATTTTAGATCATGTAGCTGGAGGTAGAGAGTCCTGTGAGCGTACAAAGGTTATTTGCTAAATAGTATATAATATATTCCCTTTGGAGACTGAGAGAAACTAAGAGGATGCCAATATGGTTTTCTTTACACATCACAGGGTGCATGAAGTACAAAACCTGGAATATTGAACTGACTGAGTAGCTGGTGATTGAAATGTTGTTACTTTGATTAATATCATCAGTTATGTGATGAACATCTTTCAGTTCTTTAGCAGAGGATTTAATATCGTGTTTTATCTGCATGTAAAGAGTTTTAATTATTTGGCAGATTTTTTTTTTTACTGACCCATGCTTAAGCAAACAAACAATGGAGGTTGTTCAATAGCGGCATTTTACAGGAAAAGATTGACTATTAACTTTGGTTGTTTATTGCCATGGATTGGTGGGAAATCTTCAATCGAAAACTGGATGGGAAGCAGAGAGGTTGCTGCTTTGGTATCAGTAGATACTGTACAACATATACTGATCTGTTCCTTTCTAGATTCACAAAATTGATTAATGATCTGACAAGTTCTTGGCTCAAGCAAACAAATAAACAAAAAAAAAACTGGTGTCTGTGGATGGCAATAATCAAGATAAATAATTAAATAAAACAACAACATTTCTTCCTTGTTTTGCAGACTGAATGGCCAAGAGTGATGCAAATCCAGCTTATGCACTAATACACCACCTTTAGAGAGAGTAATTTTATTTCATCGTTCCACACAATTAGCAGCAGAGGAGGCTATAAACACTAATGTAACATATGGTGTTCGTTCATTTAAATATGTTTGCATTTGGTCATTTTTAATTTTCCCTTTAAAAGATGCAGTTCGTACATCTTAGAATTTTTATATGCATACTAAGAATGATATTTAAGTAAATGAATATGACCTATTTTATAGATAGATAGGTTACCATATATCAGTTTTAGACGGTTGTGTAACTCTTGACTAAAATTGCATCAACATGAAAAAATGGACCTGGTTGACATCCTTGTAACTCTGAACAGCTGCAAACCCACTAGAGCCTGAGCTGCTAATTACACCGTTTGCAACTTTAATATCTAGTTTAGCAATTGAGGGTTCAACTGGGTCTGTGCAGAATTTATAGAGCATTAATCAACAGGCACTAATTAGCTAATAACCTGTTAATTAAATCAGGTTTTTAAAGTCCTGAGAGGTGATTATTCCAGCATGGATGTGTGATTTGCTGCAGAGCCGGGGAGCAATGCACACACTCGGAACAAATGTCACGGTGTTGATGTTAAATCCATCTCCCAATTGGGATTTCCCTCTTTGCACCACTATCATCTGCTTCCACCTGACCCCCTGACCCCGTCCACACAAAGCCATGACTATTCTTGTTTCCTCTCCCCTGTGATGAGCTATGACAAATTTAAGCATGCAAACGAAAAAGAAAAATATGAAAGGATTTGGATCAATGTTGGAGGCAACCACAGGCATCCTCATGGGATGTTCATTAATCCTATTCAACAGGACCAGAGATGGCAGATAGCCAATATCTGAATTAGTCTTGAAGCTAAAATTTGGTGTCAGTTCCTGTAATGTGAAATCAATATAACCTCTTACACTCCATTGACCTGAGGCTGGTGTTTTTTCCTGTCTGGTCCTTTTGTCTTCTAAGAAATGGGTCCGTATGTTTAGAGACAGCTTTTGTTTTTGGGCTATTGCCTGTATTGATTTCATATAATTTTATCAGATTCCTTAACCTCTGTGGTATACCTCTTTCCCACTGGCTGAAAAAGCTGTCTAAACCATGGAGCAATCGGCTTTTATAGGCTTTACTCTCACCATGCAGACCACAGTCTTACCCCATCCAGCAGCTACAGTCCAGCGGTTTACATTCTGACTTAAAATTTTGCTCCAATAAAGCTTCTTTTCCTCTAAAAACACCATAGTAATAACTGTTTTTCAAACAGAGGTCGACCCGCTAACAATCTGCATTTGGCTCGCTTCCTATTGGCAAAAAATGCGGGGTCTGAGCGCCGCAGGCAAGCTGTATGTCCTCTGTCCTCCAACTGCTGCATGTCTGGTGACTCAATCACGCTGGGTTAGCGTTAGTGATGTCACCAGTACAACAGAAATCAGGGAAGTAAACAATGTACTACAATGCACATAGTAAGTGTTTCTATTACTTTGTTCCTCTGTCTCTCTCACCACTTCTGTGACATTTTTACCAAATGCAAGCAGTGTTGTTTTAGTTTGTTAGATCATACACGACTGGCACAGTGTGTTAAAGTCCAAATATTTTGCTCAATGGTATTATGTAAATATGCGGGTCGACCCTTGTCTGATTTACCCACTGTATGGCGATTGGAACCAAGCCCTTTGAAGGCGATTTTAATCCAGATAGCTTGCAGAGTCGATTGACATGGGTCGACATGCGTCAGTGAGCCGTTCCCACTGCCACTCAAAGCAGATTGTTCCCTGTTTTGAACAGGTTTTTCGGCAAGTGGGAAAGGGATATATATGACATCCTGTTGTCAAAGATTTTTAGGACACCCTTTTTTTGTCACGTTCATTGTGTTCCTAATATACATTTAAAGCTTCCAAATCAAAAGGACAATGGTGACCTGATGATTTTTTTTCATGATAGTATGTATTGCACAGAAGAGCTCATTTTAGCACTAACAGTGTAAGTATATGCCTAACGCTACACCAGTCAGTGAGTGTCCAGTCCTAGGTTTATGTTCAGTCAGCATCCACATACCTTACTTTTTTTATAGCTTTAAATTGATTAAATTAAGATATCCTTTCTCCAAGGTGGAATACTTACACCGACAACTGCAATGAATTGTAAAAGAACAAGAATAAAGTGTAGAAGTTAAAATTTGTTTAACAATAGATAGATTTTTATAGCCATTATCAAGCTTCTGGTATAATCAGGCACAGTCCTGATGAGGTTTAAACACTGTTAAGAATTGGTAAAATTAAGCCAAATTGGTTGGTTTCAACTGCAGCATACCTAAGTGGCACTTAAATAAAGTTGTCTAAAGGATAAATGTGTGGCTTGATTACAAAAACAAAACAAAGAAACAACTGGTAAAAAATAAAAAATTTCATTTCTTTAAAATGACAGCACATTTCATATAAAATATAGTTTTTGCAGAAAATATAATTTGTCTTGACTAATGAGTATCATTTTTGGGCTGTAATGGCTCGAGCAGTAACCTGAGGATAAACCCACAGGATGTCTTGGCTCTAAAAGATTTTGAGAAGTTTTGCAAACGCAGAGGGTAAATATCACCAATTCCACATGTGGGATACTGAAAGGAATCCAATTGAAGAACATTCAATCCTGAAACTAATGAAAAACATAGGTTAGCAAAGTATGGGTGTGTTGTGCAGCCAGGTTATTTCCACATTTTTATTTTTGATATTATTACCAAACAGATTTGTTGGGTTTTCTGCTGTTCTGTTATGTAATTTGCCAGTTTTATTTATAGAATTCATAAATGTCATTTTTTTAAATCTTTCATTCTGTTTAGTTTTTATTAATAAATTTCATATTGAAGATGGTAAAAGTTTGGATATCATTTTATCATGGTGTCTTTTTTTTACACCATAAAAATCTGGTGCTTTTACTGCGATGTTTAGACTTTGAGATTCACTAGTTCGCAATATCTTGGAGGCTGAGCTTGTTATATTTCTTAATATTTTTTTTCTCTATTAAAATTTTCCCTCTCTTGGATGGTTTGTTTTTTCAGATTAAAGGTACAGGATTAATTATAAAAATTATTTATGATTTACCAGGCAGTTTATCAGGTGTATTTAGAGTTTTTAGATCCATTGTATGTGACATGACTAAGATGCTTAAAATCAATTATTGGTGTTTATCTGCTCTCGTGCACATCTCTTTTTGTAGGTCATGTTTTAATAAACTCTGCCTGCATCCTCTTGACCTCAATCATGTCATCATCTCCTCCTCCTTTGTATCCCAGAGCTGCCAGTCACCTCTTCTTAAAGAAGGAGGCCACAGATCAATACGTTTGATGGGGAGGCAATAAGCAGCCCTATTAAGTGACAAAGGTTTACTCTGTAACAGCTGGGCTGGCACAGGAGCCGAGCTTGTCTGACTAATGAATCGTGAAACAATCAGGCAGTAGCCAT